CCGAAGAAGTTAATAAAGAATGGTGCAGAGCACCAAGAGAACACAAGGGTGTAACGGACACACTGGTATCCCAGCTTTCCCACCATTTCTGCCAACTTTGTTACCTCCCCATCCTTACCTAAAAGCCATTTTTCTTTTTTCCTATCAATTTTTTATTATTATTGTTTAATTGAAGTCTAGTTGCTGTACAATATTTCATAAGTCACAGGTGGATCAAATAGTGATTCAGAGTCTGTCAAGGTTACACTCCATTTATAGTTATTATAAAACGTTGGTTATATTCCCCACGTTGTACAATGTATCCTTGCAGCTTATTTTATACCTAAAAGCCTGTGCTTCTGACTCCCCTCCCCCATCCTGCCTCTCCCCCTCCCCTCTCCCCCCGGTCACTTCTAGTTTGTTCTCTGTGTCTATGAGTCTACTTCTGTTTTGTTACATTCAATAGTTTGTTGTATTTTTTTAGGTTTCACATATAAGTGACATCATATGTATTTGTCTTTGTCTGGCTTATGTCACTTAGCCTAATGCCTTCCAGGTGCACCCCTGTTGTTACCAATAGGAAAATTTCATTCTTTTTTATGGCTGAGTAATATTCCATTGTGTATATATACCACATCTTCTCTATCCAGTCATCTCTCGATGGACACTTAGTTTGCCTCCATGTCTTGGCTATTGTAAATACTGCTGCTATGAACACTGCAGTGCAAGTATCTTTATGAATAAATGGCTTGGGTTTTTTCAGAGCTATCCCCATGAGTGGGACTGCTGGGTCACACGGTAGTCCCGTTTTTAGTTTTTGGAGAAACCTCCATACCGTTTTCCACGGTGGCTGCAGCAATTTACATTCCACTTTTTCGACAGTCTAGCATCTCCTTCCACGTTACAAAAATGCTAATGTGTTTCCCATCTACTAATGCCCAGTCAAGCAAATATCTGGTTTCCCACTGGCTCCCAGTTAATTCTCCCCTTCACTCTGTATCGGGTTGGCCAACGCCGGCTCGCACCATTTTTTGTACATAAAGTTTTATGCAAACACCGCCACGTTCACTGAATTCCTGTCAAGTCCCGTCCTGACTTCCCTCTACAAACACAGGGATGAACGTTGGCCACCGACATCGTATGGCCCACGATGCTGAAAACATTTAGTCTCTGGCTCTTTCGAGAAAGGCTGTCTACCCATTCCATGTGATCCGGCCTGTGGCGTCCCTACCTTGTACTTACTTACTACCTTCTTTGTTTCTTCCTATCTCCCTGCCCGAACTTACTCTTTGATCCTCATCTTTCACTGACTCCCAGCTGCCATTCGCCGATAACGGGGTGGTGGGGCCCTGGCCACAGCCCCACCCCCCTCCGCAGAGCTCGCCCTCACCTACCGTCGAAGCTGCCGTGGTCGGCGGCGTGCTGCAGCAACAGGCCGTGCGTCTCCAGAGAAGGTCGGAAGACAAAGACCCCGCTGTTGAAGCAGTCCGGCCAGCCGGGGTCGGGGGCCGCAGAGAGCTCCGTCCTGGCGAACAGCTCGTCCACGTTGGACAGCACCTGGGGAAGCGGGGCGTGGGGGCCCTTCCCTTAGCCGGCGGGACACGGGTGAGAAACGCGACAGCGACTTCAGGCCGGGACGGCGTTTTCAGTGATGGGAAACTTACGCCTTTTTTTTTTTAACTGACTCTCTTATTTTTAGGCTTATATTCAAAGGAGAAGAGCTTGCAATGTCACGCTCTCCGGCTGATTTCAAGGGACAGAAGGAACACCGTCTCTTTGTTAACTAAGTGCCATCAGTTAGAATGTGTCAGCTCCCGGTGTTTGGCACAATGTCCCAGCCCTGCATATGTATACTTACATTCGTTTTCATAGTCTTTTTCATATCTCGAGGCTCTTAAGACCCTCCGTGGACCTCTCTTAATCATATATTCTCTTTTGTCTAGCACACGTGACCCACGAGGCTTGGGAAAGACACCAACGCGGAGGTTTGCAAGGAAATATAATGTAATCAATTGCCTCGCAGAGCTTGCCTGCAACACCTATCGGCTTGCTAAATTGTGCTCTGTCTGGGGGAAAAAAAAACTGACTCTGATGGTTCTCTCATTCTTATTTCTTACAGAGCTGCTTCTGCGCAACCAAGACAACCCACACTCCAACATCACTGCACATTCCGACTTTCCAACAGCTGTTTCTGGAAGTACCCATCCTGGGCTCGTACACCAGCAGGCACCACTACCCCAAATAACAAGAGCTTAAGCAGCCAGGTGCACCAGCCCCATCAGGAGTATAGAATTCACAATCAAGGCAGAGTATTATTTTCCCAGTTATTTGATTTTGTGAGGATGAAATGATGTAGTTATTAAAAGCTCATCATAGGGAAGGAAAGTACCTTCAAGTATCTCAAATGTCCTCGGCAGGGTCGGGCACAGGGCTAAGGAGGTGGGTTCTACCTGGTGTTGACGGACTGAACATGGATGTTGGTGCGAGGGATGGACGTGACCTGATGGGCTCCACCAGCAGCCCGCTTAAGGACGGAGAGGGTCCTCACCCTCCCCTAGACTCACCAGGGTGTCTGCGTCCAGGAAGACACACTTGCTGTAATGGGTGAGCGTCCAGCAATGAAGCTTGGTGAGGGTGACTCCGAGCTCAGGTCTCTTCAGGAAGGCCAGGTGGATGTAGTCTGCACTGTCTGTGAGGTCCACCTCAATGACCTCATCAAACAGCCTGGAGAGGACGACCCTGGAAAAGAGACACCAAATCCTAGGAGAACAGGAGACCCTGAACACAAGACACGCTGTCCTGTGCTGGGCAGTCGCATGAAACGTGGTTCCAAACCACTCATATTCAGGGGTTTTTTCCCATGGGTGTCTCAGAGCTGTGCCCACATTCCAATCGTGCTTAAAACTTAGGCAAACGTGAAAACAAGACATACGAAACAGTCTTGAGATAGACTGATTCGGGTCATCTCCTAGGAAAGTACTTCCTCTTTCCAAACTGTGTGGGCAGAGAGGAGTGAATGCTGACAGGCAGAAACCAACAGACGTCCACTGCAATCTCCAATGATTTTTGCTTTACAGATTCAAAACCTACATTGTTCGTTGCATATGAGTTTGAGGCTCAAATTTTCAGAGACCGTACCTTTCATCAAAATGAACTTTGCCTCTGTTCCACTTAATTTTTCTTTGCTCAAATTGTACTTCATTATAGCCTGGAATATCTTGTGATGATAGAAAATTAAGAAAGTGCTAGAAAAAAGGATAGGGCCATGTCAAAAAGATACAGGAAGCCAATCAGGAGGAGCTCCCAGCAGCCAACACTGAAGCAATTTGGGCAAGAAAACAAATAAGAAACTCAAAGTATAAAATGAATATTTGTGAATCCATACTGATATCACAATTGAATAAATCAGTAAATGGGGGAAAGGGGCAGCTCTTCCGCACAGAACAATCCCAAGTGATAAATATAGAAGGAATGAGCAAAACAGAAAAATCACCATTAGACAAACATCACTAGACTCGCTAATGGACCCTAAAATCAATGGGTAAAGGTTTTGAGGAGAAAGAGCATGTTTTCATGGTCTAAAAGTACCTCCCCCAAGATACTTATCAATCACAAAGAGAAAAATAACAATTTTACAGGGGAGATATGACTAAGGTTTTATGACCAATAGCTAGACACAGCAACATCACACACTCTGAAATATGATGCACTGAAAAAAGTACTTTACTTCTGAGGATTTTTTTTTTTTTAGCCAAAAATGTATAACCTTAATTGGACCACGAGAAAACACTGGAAAAACGCAAGCCAAAAGGCACTCTATGAAACCGTTGACAACTACTCTTCAGAAATGTCAAAGTCATATTACTCAGCC